CAAGTTGCTAAAGCCAAAAAGGTTATGGTACCACAGACTTCGAGCCCCAACTGTCATGCTAGTACTTCTGGTACTAAAGTTGTTCATGAGAAGGTCATACCAGAAAAGCAAAATCTAAAGGCCAAACCAAAACAAACTTTGAAAACTAATGAACCTGGCAGAAGATCTAATAACAGAAAAAGTTTTCAGAAAAATAGTAATCAAAGGCCAAACCTTTTCAGACAATCTCATGACAACGGTATCAGAAACTGCTATCAGAAAGGCAGATATCAAGAGAAAATTAACTATAGACAGAAGAGGTTGACTAGTCAACCTCAGAAGCCTAAAGTTAAGCGCCCCTCTGCTCTTGATAGCATATGGGACTTCTTTCCAACCAAAAAGGCTATGCAAAAGTATGCAAACAGAAAGCATGATCCTCACAAGCATCTGCCCAAAGTGAATCATACATCTGTTTACTACGACTACCAGGTGGACAATGGGTACCATCCACCAAGGTTTCAGTTGATGAGACCAAAATGGTACCAACTACCAAGACTGCATTACCCCCCAGGACCCAACATTGCTTGGGTACCTAAATCTTCCTTTTAATTTTGCAGGAACTGTGTGCTGGAGCTATCTCAGAGCAAGAATGGTTTATTGATAGTGGATGCTCCAGGCACATGACAGGTGACAAGAGTTGCCTATCAGAGTTCCAGAAAATCAATGGACCCCGAGTCACTTTTGGAGGAAATGACAAGGATGGTCAAACAAAGGGAAGAGGGAAGCTGATCAAGAACCAGATAAGCACTGATGATGTCTCATATGTCAAAGGTCTGAAGTTCAACTTGCTGAGTGCTAGCCAGTTCTGTGACAAAGGCTACACAGTTGAATTCACCAAGACCTTATGCTATGTCAAGCATGAGACAACAAAGGAAGTGGTTCTTACAGCCAAGAGAAGAAAGAACATCTATGTTGTTGACTGGCAAACAACAAAAGATGGAACCTGTCTGATAGCTAAAGACAATTCAAAGCTAAGCTGGGACTGGCACAAGAAGCTTAGCCACCTGAATTTCAAAACCATCAACAAACTGGCAAGGGAACACATTGTAGATGGTCTGCCAGACATTGTCTACAAGAAAGAGACCCTCTGCAGTGCTTGTCAGAAGGGCAAACAAGTGATGACCTCATTCAAACCCATAGCTGGAGATCTTTCTACTTGTCCTCTAAATCTGATCCACATGGATTTATTTGGACCAGTTGAAACTCCCAGTGTTGGTGGAAAAAGATATACACTAGTCATGGTGGATGACTATTCAAGATACACATGGTGTAAGGAATAAATGTAATTAGATTTTGATGATGCTATAGGATTAGAAAGTTAGAGTACCCCCAAATTAGATTTTATGTATTAGAATTTTCAATTGTAAGTATTAGTGTAGTCGACGATCAGAGTTGCTCTGCTTTGGATCAGATCAGAAGTCCATCAGAGTTGCACCATGAGAGTTGCTGATAAATTGGACATCTGATAACCGATGAGAGTTACAGATCAGAGGTACTCATCAGCGGACCTATCAGAGTCAGAGTTAGAGTTCAGTCAGAGATCAGGAAGCCATCAGAACTCAACTCATCAGAAAGCCATCAGAACTCAGGAAGCCATCAGAATCCAACACATCAGAAGAGCCTGATCAGAGCCCGACTAACACTTAGAAGATTTCAAGCAACATCCAACAGCTATGAATCCAACGGGTAAAAACATCCAACGGCTAGAAGACTGTGCATGAAAGGAAAGCATTTATTGCACATTAAATGAGCCTGATACGCTGAAGGATTGATTGCAAATGATTGACCAAGGAATCCGGGAAGATATATTATAAAAATAGAAACCTTCCAAAACGGCGGTCAAGTCAACAGTACGCGCATTTAATGTAGTTGTCTCCTCCTCCAACGGGCAGACAACCTCAGTATATAAGCTACTCACCGAAGAACAGGAAAACAACTCTTCGCAAAACTTTGCTCCATTCATTACTCTGAACATACTTCTTGAGATTCAACCTTCATAACACTCTTCAAGAAAAGTCCTACGTTGGGAAGATTCAAACTCCAAATCTTTCATCCCCAACAACGAGCAAAGTTCATCATGTTCTTCAACTCTTCAAGAACTTCATCAAACATCATTTGTGACGAAGCAAGTTGGAGGAAAAACTTTGTTTTTCAAAGGATCTTCTGCAAAGAAGGGCGTCCAAGTAACTGCAGTAGTGAAGTGGTGATACTTCCGGGAAGCTGAGTGAAAGGATCAGCCATCAGGACGTGGAATTGCATCCTGGGTGGCATCTAGGCTTGAAGAAGACGAGGAGTGCTTCTTAAGTGCTAGGGACTAAGCTTTGTAACCGATCTACTTCAAAGCTAGTGGAACAGTGGACTAGAGGAACGCGTTGTTCCTTGAACCACTATAAAAATATCTGGTGTCATTTAATTTACTGCAATTTATATTTCTGCACTTAGGACATTAACTGATTAACTCTAAGACTTGGAATCTGTGTTCAGCAGATCTTGTTTTCAGAGTTATCAGAAAGGCATTTGCCTTAGTATTTCTGAGGCTACCCGGACAGATCAGAATCCGCTGCCAAGGCCTGTTCTGATATCAGAACCAGCCTTTCTCTGTCACCAGAATCAGACCTTCTCTGATAAGTCACTTTGGACTTAGAGAAAATTTGAAAAACTAATCAGTCTATTCACCCCCCCCCCCCCCCTCTAGACTGATTACCATATTAAACGGGACCAACACATGGACTGTGTTCTTAACAAAGAAAAATGAAACTCTTCAGAAGTTGCCATCTCTGTTAAAGCAACTTCAGAGTGAGAAGAACATGAAGGTCAGGACAATCAGATCTGACAGAGGAACTGAATTTGTCAACAAAGTAATCAAAGACTTCTGTGATCAGAATGGCACGTTTCACCAACTTTCTGCTGCCAGAACACCCCAACAAAATGGTGTTGCAGAAAGAAGGAACAGAACACTGAAGGAAGCTGCAAGGACAATGATTGCTGAATCAGGATTGCCCATCAGATATTGGGCTGAAGCAATCAACACTGCATGCTACACTCAAAATAGAAGCATGATCCACAAGAATCATCAGAAGACCCCCTATGAGCTGTGGAAAGGAAGAAAGCCAAACATCAGCTACTTCCATGTGTTTGGGTGCAAGTGCTACATTCTAAACAATGGAAAGGAGAATCCGAAAGTATTTCAAGAAAAAGCTGATGAAGGTATATTCTTAGGCTACTCAAGCTCAAGCAAAGCCTATAGAATACTCAACAGGAGAACTCTGCAAGTTGAAGAATCAATTCATGTCAAGTTTGATGATAGCACCTCTGCTGACGAAATATCAGAAACCCTTCAGAAGATCAATCTTGAAGACAAGATTTCAGAACCATCAGAAGAGATCACTAATAATCCTGCATTCTCAGCTCCTCCTGCTAATCCAATTCTGGAAGACAAAGATGAAGATGAAGAATCAGAAGATGATCAATCAGAGTTGCCTAGACAGCATCTATCAGAACCTGATCTAACTTAGTTAAGAGATCATCCTCCTAATCAAGTGATTGGTCAAGTTACTAGTGGAATTAGAACCAGATCTGCATCTAGAAGAGAAGCCATGATCACCTGCTGCATTTCTCAAATGGAACCAATGAATGTAGAAGAAGCTCTAGAAGATTCAGATTGGATCAATGCAATGCAAGAAGAGCTGACACAGTTTGAAAGGAATCAAGTATGGGAACTTGTTCCTAGACCAAAGCATCAGAATGTCATTGGAACCAAATGGGTTTTCAAGAACAAAGCAGATGAAGAAGGCAACATTGTAAGGAATAAAGCGAGGCTTGTAGCAAAAGGCTACTGTCAAGAAGAAGGCATAGATTTTGATGAGACCTTTGCACCTGTTGCAAGACTGGAAGCAATCAGGATATTTCTAGCCTACGCTGCATACAACAACATCAAAGTATACCAGATGGATGTCAAGAGTGCATTTCTGAATGGAGAACTGGAAGAGGAAGTTTATGTAGAACAACCACCAGGTTTTGTCATTCCTACTCAATCTTCTTGTGTCTACAAGCTTAGAAAGGCCCTTTATGGTCTTAAGCAAGCTCCCAGAGCTTGGTATGACACATTGTCCCTATTCTTAGTGAACCATGGGTTTACTAAAGGGAAGGTTGACAAGAGTCTATTTCAAATTTCTGTTGCTAATCATATTCTGTTAGTACAAATCTATGTTGATGATATCATATTTGGAAGCACTAATCCAGAATTATGCAAGAAGTTTTCTAAAGTTGTAACACCGTCCCCAAATGTATTTACTTTCAAGTAAATGATGTAATAAACCTTATGGAATGATTTACGAATTTACGAAGTTGTAAATTTTTATTATTCTTTCGCGTGAATAGTAAATTGCACGTGGGGCCCACACCGGGAGCGGGGGCCGCCCGACACTCCCGAGACCACATATTTTATTCATCTTGGTCAAGATAATATTTATATAGTGGTGGACATTTCGTTTGAGTCGTGGAAAGGCGCAGAGTTGACCGATTGGGGAAAAAGAGACCCAATTACCGGTACCGACAATTTAACAGATAACAGCCCGAAAATGAATTTCGGAGGCTTATAAATTAAAGTTGGGGAATGGATATTCATTATACATGTCATAATGAGTAAGAGCACATAATATATTTTATTTGACCTGATAAAATAAAATATAATTAAAACAGTCCGAAAAATACAACTTTCGGGACCGATTGTACACATCGGGACACAAAGGGATGACCTCCCACATGAGTGGGGGCCACCCCACGTTTTTATGTGCTAAACACATCAATTGAGAGCTGGGTTGACAAGAGGAAATGAGGAGGAGATGCATTTGGCATCAAAAGTACAATGGGGAGGACCCATTCCCACATTATTTTGAGAGAAAAGCCAAAGAGGCTATCTCCTCACTCACCCACCCCATATTTTCGGCCAAACCATCAAAGGAGGAGGAAGAAGAAGCTCTCAAGCTACTCTCCATTGCTGCAACTCGAGCTCAACCAAAAGTAGTCCAAGGAGTGGGATTAAAGAAGGAAAAAGGCTAGGAAAAGTGTGTAGAATTAAGGTAATGACCTTATTATAACTTTTTCTTTATTTTTCTTCTACCATATGAGATATATATCATGTGAAGAATCCTTAAGAGGGTTCTACATGTTATAAGTATGGATTAATGGGTTGGAAAGTGATTCTATGTCCAAGAACGGACTTAGAAGCCAAAACGACCGGTTCACCGGAAAATAACCTTTTTGAGGTTATTTGTATTAATATGGGTTTCATGATTATAAAACCTTGTTAGGCACTTGTAAAGGGTATTTCAAGTGATTTCACAAAGTTGGAAAAGTCGCCGGAGTTGTCACCGGAGTTGACCAAAAGTCGCCGGAGTTTCACCGGAGTTCAACCAAGAAGGGTAGAACTTCTTAACGCTAGTTCAAGGTGAGTGGACGGCTTAATATCTTATAACTTTTGGGTTAATTATGAGATTACCTAAATAAATGTTATATGTTTCCATAATGATGTTTAAAAGATAATTAAACATGTGATTAGCCAACATTATCAAGTTGTATGAAAAGAATTAATTGATTATGCATGAAATATGATATGAGAGATTATATAAAATGCACATTAGCTTGAAGTGTAAAAGAAGCTCAAATGAGTATTATTGACTTAATTATATGATGATTAAGTTGATGTGAACAAGGCTTGAATTGGCGGTCAACGACAACGTTGACCGATGGATGATGGATTAATTAATATCGGTTGATGTTAGTTAATTATACATTTATTTAAATGCATGGCTTTGCATGGATTGTGATACATAAGATTTATGTATTGGATTAGTTATGAGTAACTAAGGATGATATAGACTCTATCTAGGTTGATAGGAGGTTGATCATAGGAAAACTTGGTGGAGGACCCTAGTACTTAAAAAGTACTTAACACTCAAACTTGGTGGAGGACCCTAGTACTTAAAAAGTACTTAACACTCAAACTTGGTGGAGGACCCTAGGACTTAAAGTCCTTAACACTCAAACTTGGTGGAGGACCCTAGTACTTAAAAGTACTTAACACTCAAAACTTGGTGGAGGACCCTAGGACTTAAAAGTCCTTAACACTCAAACTTGGTGGAGGACCCTAGTACTTAAAAGTACTTAACACTCAAACTTGGTGGAGGACCCTAGGACTTATGAGTCCTTAACACTCACAAACCGGTGGAGTATCCAAGGATTATGATCCTAAAACTCATAGATTGTGATATACAAGTAGGGACAAGGAGGAGTCCTATACACTCATAGGTATATGGGTGGGTTGGGGTTTTTAGTCAAGAATATTGACTATTACTATTTTCCCGAATAAAATGGTGATCTACGGATCGGATATTTTCCAAGTATATATATACTAATAAGTATTTCATAACTTGGGGGAAAGATTATTTATTTAAGTATCACCCTATGTTTGGGTCTTATACTTGAAACGCTAGTTATTCTATATTTAGCCTGCTACTCGCTCGGTACTTGTACTGACCCCTTCGGGGGGCCCCACCATTTGCAGGTTGAAGCTAGAGCTTGCTACTTGCACCTTCTCACGGGTGATATCAAATCAGGGAGACGTGGTTCGTGCTTCCTTATTTTCTTTCAAACTACCGAACACTTGCTCATGGATATTTGTTTTACTACAAACTATTTTTGGGGCTTGCATGCCCATGTTGTCGGCCGGTTGTGGCCCATGACTTACCGTTGAATATTTCCGCTATTCATTGGTTTAATGTGATGTTGTTATGTATGTTTACTACTGAGTATGGATGGATTGTTTTCTCGAACGCCTTGTGTAATTAAGTGAGGTTGACCCGTGGGTGACGTCACTTAGTTATACGGCGGTTGTACACGCGCTTGGATTGCGGTCTGGGGCGTGACAATTAAGTGGTATCAGAGCCATCTCAGTTCTAAACATTATAATCAACCTCTCACAAAAGATTTTACAAAAGAGTTTTTACCGAAAACCATGAGCATTGTATTTTGACGTTATAGGACTATTGGTGCTTAAGTTGCAAGGCCTCTAATTGTTAAGACGGTACCCTTAACAATTGGTATGGTAGTGACTCGGGCCAATACGTGTCTGTAACGTTCTTCCGTCAATTGACATTTATAGGAGTCTAACGACTCATCCATATTTCTTTCAGAAATGGAGGGCAGGCGAATGGGGACCAGGAACAATCCGAGAGGGCAAGCGCCGGTAACATCCCAAAGGGGAAGCCGGGCTGCATCTCGGGGTTCGAGAGGAGGCCGGGGAGGCCGTGGGAGCCGTGGAGGTCATCAAGCTCAAACTGTGAGTGATGGCCATGTGAGCTCGGTGTATGAAACCAACACCGAGGACTATGACTCAACCTACGTGCCAGAGACGGAGCATGAAGAGACCCCGTATGATGGGGGTGACACGTACACCGATGAGGACAATGATGAGAGTGATGCCCGCTTTGCCCAAATGGGCGAATTACTAGAGTGGTATCAAAAGGAGAAACTGAGGAGAGACCTTAGGCGCCAAGCGAGGCGTGGCTCTCGGGGAGGTTCGGGTCAAGGGAGCCGGGGAGCTTCCGTGGCCACCCCAGCGGCGTCACATGGTGGGCGTGAAGGAGGTTTTGTTGTGAGAATCTCCAAGTACCTCAAGGAGGCTAGGGCCTTGGGGTGTAGGTCCTTTGACGGCACCGGTGACATTACCGTTGCCGCCGATTGGATTAAGAAGGTGAAGGATGCATCAAGAGACATGCAAATCACACCGGACGTGAAGTTGACTGTCGCTTCACGGCTACTTGAAGGGATAGCTTCTACGTGGTGGGAGAGCGTGGAAGGGAAGTACCATGGGGAAATAACATGGGCAGATTTTGAGCTAGAGTTCTATGCTCAATACTACTCCGAGTACGAGGTGAATGTGAAACGGAGAGAGTACACTAACCTCAAACAGAAAGAGGGCGGAACAGTTAAGCAACTGGAACAAGAGTTTAGAACCTTGGCTAGGTTCTTGCCGGAGTACGCGGTTGATGAGAACCGCATGACAGAGCACTTTTGGGATGCCCTACTCTTGGACATCCGTGACCGAGCTACGTACTCGCGCCACATGACCTTCAGCGAGGTGGTGGAGCAGGGCCTTCTCGGGGAGGCCCAATGGAACGAGAGAAAAGAGAGAGACGCCGAGGAGGCGAAAAAGAGGAAATGGCAAAGTTCGGGGCCGCCCGAGCAAGCACGGAAGGATAAGCACGGTGGAGGTGGCGGCTCGTTCAAAACACCGGCACCACCGGCAAAGAAGAACAAGGATGCTCGGTGGCATGCATCCTCCTCCCAAAAGACGGGACCCCCTAGGTGTGCTAATTGTTCGAAAAATCACTTTGGGAAGTGCAATGCACCCCCAAGGTGTTATCAATGCGGGAACACGGGCCACATGAAGGCCAATTGCCCACAATTAGGGGGTGGAGGAGCTTCGGGATCCGGAGGAGGAACCATGACGGGAAGAAACCGTGCGGGACCGTCAAACGGCGGTACGGGGAGAGGCAACGCATCCACAAGTCATGCCGCGTCCGTAAATCAAGGCGGGACCCAAGCACGAGTGTACGCAATGACCGAGGCGGATGCGCGAGCAAACCCGGACTCCGTTGCAGGTAATACACTTATTTTCCTATATTTCTAGGCTTATTTGGGTCATATGAGTCATTGGGTTTGGGTGCGGGCCACCCCGGGGTCAAACCCCGCGAATTCGGGGCGAAACGGGCTAAAAACAACTACGCGCGATCGCGCGTACCCACAGACGCACGACCGTGCGTACGAGGCAGTAGCCTCTGGCCTTATTCCGCGCAGACGCACGCCGTGCGTACAGGGAAGGCACGCCGTGCGTGGGACGCACGATCGTGCGTGACCAGCTACGCACGATCGTGCGTAGCCGGCAGTGGCTGGCTCCGGATTTCGCACGCACGCACGGCCGTGCGTACCCCCTACGCACGCCGTGCGTGGACCCCCAACACCGGGAAATTTATTTTTTCGCCCCGTTCTTCTACGTTTGGACCCCCGTTTGATTCCAAACATTAGTATGAACCTAATAACATCCTAATGATGTGTAAAAACCTTAGAAAATGTATCTTACATGGTGTATAAATGTAGGAACATTAAAGATCAATGGTAGGTGTGCGAGGATCCTCATCGATACCGGGGCACAACGCTCATTTGTGAGTGAGGCGTTCGCCGAGGGCCTTGACGTGCCATTGACACCTATGACGCAAACATTGCTAGTCTCCACACCGTTAGGAGACGACGTGGAGAGAAATCATTATTATCCGTCGTGTGAGGTAGAAGTGACGGGTCAACCTTTGACTTGTGATTTCGTACCTCTAAGCATGTTGGAGTTCGATGCAATCCTAGGAATGGATTGGCTCGAGAAACACCATGCTCGAGTAGATTGCTACACCAAGGTGTTAGAGCTCGAGGATGATCAAGGAAACACACTATGTTTCGAGGGAGATCGGGGAAAATCTAATGCTTGTATAATATCCGTGATGAGGGCACGGGAGATGATGAGGAAGGGATGCCACGCATACCTTGCCTACGTGGTGGACGATACCAAGAAGGAAGTCGACATCAAAGATGTACGGGTCGTGTGCAAATACCCGGATGCCTTTCCCAAAGACCTACCGGGGCTCCCACCCGATAGAGAGATAGAGTTTGTAATCGAAGTGGAGCCGGGAACCAAACCCATTTCGATTCCCCCTTATCGAATGGCACCGGCCGAACTCCAAGAGTTGAAGGTCCAACTACAAGAATTACTGGACAACGGGTTCATCAGACCCAGTCATTCACAGTGGGGGGCACTCGTACTCTTCGTGAAGAAGAAGGATGGTACACTAAGAATGTGTATTGACTACCGACAGTTGAACAAGGTCACAATCAAGAACAGGTATCCCTTACCGAGGATTGATGACTTGTTTGATCAACTTCGGGGGGCAATAGTGTTCTCAAAGATTGATTTGAGGTCGGGGTATCATCAGTTGAAGATCAAGGAGAGCGACATACCTAAGAGTGCATTCCGCACTAGGTATGGTCATTACGAGTTCCTTGTGATGTCATTTGGTTTAACCAACGCACCGGCAGCATTCATGGACTTGATGAACCGTGTGTTTAGTGAATACTTAGATCAATTTGTGATAGTATTCATTGATGATATCTTGATATATTCCAAGAGCGAGGAGGAGCACGAACATCATTTGAGGCTTATACTTGACCGGCTAAGGGAAAAGCAGCTCTTTGCCAAGTTCTCTAAATGCGAATTTTGGCTTAAGGAGATTGGGTTCCTTGGTCACGTCATATCCGGTTCGGGCGTTGCTGTGGATAACGCCAAGATAAAGGCTATCATGGATTGGGAGAGACCCAAGAATGTGAAAGAGATACGTAGTTTCCTTGGCTTAGCAGGATACTATCGTAAATTTGTTGAAAAATTTTCTGTATTGGCGTCTCCATTAACGAAGCTCACAAAGAAAGGGGCCAAGTTCATATGGGACGACAAGTGTGAGAAAGGGTTCCTTGAACTGAAGAAACGACTTACCGAAGCACCAGTCCTTGCCCTACCCATACAAGGGATAGGGTATGATATATACAGTGATGCTAGCATCCAAGGGCTTGGATGTGTACTGATGCAAAACGGTAAAGTGATTGCCTATGCTTCAAGGCAATTGAGAAAGCACGAGGTGAACTACCCTACCCATGACCTAGAATTGGGGGCGGTAGTGTTTGCACTGAAAATCTGGAGGCATTATCTCTACGGGGAGACATGTCACATTTTTACAGACCATAAGAGCTTGAAGTACGTATTCACTCAGAAAGAGTTGAATATGAGACAGAGGAGATGGATGGAGTTGATCAAGGACTATGACTTGATCATCGATTACCATCCAGGAAAGGCCAACGTCGTGGCCGACGCACTGAGCAGAAAGAGTACGTCGGGGACGCTACTCACATGCCTACAGGCATTGAGGGCGCGCGTGGAGGTGTCCACGTGCGGGGCTCTCATTGCTCGATTCGAGGTTAGGCCCACCCTATTGGGCGAGATTAGTCGAAGTCAGGCCATTGATGAGGAATGTCAGAAAATCCGCGAACAGATCCTTGAGGGGCCCGTCGAGAATTTTCGGGTACGTGATGACGGTCTTTTACTATTTAAGGATCGTGTGTGCATACCAAAGAATGAGGAGCTCCAGAGAGCTATACTTGAGGAGGCTCATTCTTCAGCATATGCCATGCATCCAGGGGGTACTAAGATGTACCGAGATCTGAAGGAAAGTTACTGGTGGTCAGGCATGAAAAAGGATATTGCAGAGTTTGTGAGTCGATGCCTTACTTGCCAGCAAGTTAAGGCAGAGCATCAGCACCCAGCAGGGCTCTTACAACCACTCACCATCCCAGAGTGGAAGTGGGAACATGTGACCATGGACTTCGTGGTGGGGCTGCCACGAACAGTGAACAACTACGATGCAGTATGGGTAGTGGTTGATAGGCTCACCAAGAGTGCACACTTTCTGCCTATCAACATTACTTATCCCCTTGAAAGATTGGCCAAGCTATACACGGAGGAGATCGTGAGATTGCATGGAGTCCCAATATCCATTGTCTCGGATAGGGATCCACGATTCACATCCCGATTTTGGCCAAAGTTTCAAGCATCTTTGGGGACTAAACTGAAGTTTAGCACAGCTTTTCACCCACAGACGGATGGACAGTCCGAGCGGGTGATACAGATTCTGGAAGACATGCTTAGGGCATGTGCTTTGGAGTTCCAAGGAAGTTGGGACAAGCATTTGGCTCTAGTGGAGTTTGCTTATAACAACAGTTATCAAGCAAGTATCGGCATGCCTCCATATGAAGCATTGTATGGGAGGAAATGCAGAACACCGTTGTGTTGGGACGAGGTTGGCGAGGCCAAACTCGAAGGGATAGAACTGGTTGAGATCACCAAGGCCAAGGTAAGGATCATTCGGGATAGACTGAAGGCCGCTCAGGACCGACAGAAGAGTTATGCTGACAAACGGCGGAGACCGTTGGAGTTCGAGGTCGGTGATGAGGTTTTTCTAAGGATTTCTCCTTGGAAGGGCATCATCCGATTTGTATCGAGGGGGAAGCTTAATCCCCGATACATTGGTCCATTTGAAATCCTTGAAAGGATTGGAGCTGTGGCTTATCGTCTCAAGTTGACACCAGAGCTTGAGAAGATACATGACGTGTTTCATGTATCGATGCTCAAGAAGTACATACGAGACCCATCTCATATCCTTGAGAAACCACCGGTAGAGATCCGTGAGGATTTGCAATATGCGGTAGAGCCGGTGAAGATAGTAGGTCGACAAGTGAAGAAGCTTAGGAATAAGGAGATTCCTATGGTAAAGGTTCTTTGGCGGAGTGATCGAGTCGAAGAAGAAACTTGGGAGACCGAAGTCTCAATGAGGGAGCAATACCCGTTTCTTTTCGATTAGACACACGGATTTCGGGGACGAAATCCCAAACAAGGGGGGGTGAACTTGTAACACCGTCCCCAAATGTATTTACTTTCAAGTAAATGATGTAATAAACCTTATGGAATGATTTACGAATTTACGAAGTTGTAAATTTTTATTATTCTTTCGCGTGAATAGTAAATTGCACGTGGGGCCCACACCGGGAGCGGGGGCCGCCCGACACTCCCGAGACCACATATTTTATTCATCTTGGTCAAGATAATATTTATATAGTGGTGGACATTTCGTTTGAGTCGTGGAAAGGCGCAGAGTTGACCGATTGGGGAAAAAGAGACCCAATTACCGGTACCGACAATTTAACAGATAACAGCCCGAAAATGAATTTCGGAGGCTTATAAATTAAAGTTGGGGAATGGATATTCATTATACATGTCATAATGAGTAAGAGCACATAATATATTTTATTTGACCTGATAAAATAAAATATAATTAAAACAGTCCGAAAAATACAACTTTCGGGACCGATTGTACACATCGGGACACAAAGGGATGACCTCCCACATGAGTGGGGGCCACCCCACGTTTTTATGTGCTAAACACATCAATTGAGAGCTGGGTTGACAAGAGGAAATGAGGAGGAGATGCATTTGGCATCAAAAGTACAATGGGGAGGACCCATTCCCACATTATTTTGAGAGAAAAGCCAAAGAGGCTATCTCCTCACTCACCCACCCCATATTTTCGGCCAAACCATCAAAGGAGGAGGAAGAAGAAGCTCTCAAGCTACTCTCCATTGCTGCAACTCGAGCTCAACCAAAAGTAGTCCAAGGAGTGGGATTAAAGAAGGAAAAAGGCTAGGAAAAGTGTGTAGAATTAAGGTAATGACCTTATTATAACTTTTTCTTTATTTTTCTTCTACCATATGAGATATATATCATGTGAAGAATCCTTAAGAGGGTTCTACATGTTATAAGTATGGATTAATGGGTTGGAAAGTGATTCTATGTCCAAG